AGTTTTACCCGATATAATCATTGTGTTTGATATGCATAGTGGAAAGTGAAAGAATCAGATGGAATTGAAAATGATGTTCTATGAGAATAGCGTGGTTGTAGTCCGATTTCGCCATTTTCCACTATAACATAGAAATATGAAAAGAACGTTATGCACCGAATTTGGTTGAAGTATGCCACCTTGTGACCAAAATTCTCTAATCGAACCAAAACTGTTCAAGCCCCTGGTACTGAATTGTGGACCCATACTATAGTTGACTTTTTACCGTAAATATCGGCCATTGTGTAAGTATATAATTGAAATTCATATAATAGAATAAATAAATGAAATTATCGATAATAGTTTGTCTTTGTTTCAAAATGGTTGAATCGATCAATAGTTCTTGTACGCCTCATAATCTAATATAAATATTTTGAACTTCCGTGACTTTATACCGCATATGGAGTTATCTCAATGAAATGAGAGAGCGTGTTTACTCATAACAAGATCAAATCGGGTGAAAATTTCCTTAGCCCCATGTAACTAATATCACGATTTTCGAACATTCTCTGACTTACTCCATTTGATTGGTGATGGTATGTGAGGTACCTTAATGAAACAGATGGAGCATTTATTAGTCTGTGGCATGTTAGTAGTATGTGGTATTGAAAAATTAATAAAATCGGTTAATACTGCCCTCAAATTCCATATACTACTTATAATGCTTTTCGTTATTCTAACCAGTTTTATGCCGAATATGTCGGTCAGTGAGTATTAATATTTTTGATATATAAATTGCTTTAAAATATGTTTCTCGAGTATAGCTGAGCAATGTCAAAATTAATATATTTCTCTATCCCAATATAGGTATATATGATTTCCGTCTTCCACCTGACTTACAACCGTTCCGGTTGATCAACGTGATATTTTAACGAAATTAAGTTTAAAAGATTTCTTAAAAATTATGTGTTTGACGCTGAATTATGAATGAAATTAGTATATACTAAGTCTAAACCTCACACCTTCATATAATGAATTCGATCTCTGGTTGACGTTTGCTAACCTAAGCTTATAATATAAAATTTAGCCACTTTGGTGGAGTTAATATCACATTCATACTTATGTATATCTCACTCAAGCAATAAAACTGAGACTAAGTTTATGGCCTTTAATATAAGTCAAGAAGATACAAATTTGATTGTAATTTAATCACGATATCATTTAATAATGGATGTTTAATCAACATTTTTAATATACGGTTTGGAGGAATTTTCTGGTCTTGATTTTCCCAGCTCACATGTACTACTTATGGTATAATTTTTTCGTCAATTTGATAATTTAATGAAATTAAATGGACAGTTTTCTTAAAATGATGTATATCGCTGCATATGAATGAAATTGGTCTAGACTTTGTTTAAACCTTATAACCCTAATATACTGATTTCGCCCTCTGTTACAACAGCAACCTCATATTACCCACATATTAAATCTAACCCATTTGGTTCAGTTTTATATCACATATACCATGTTTGAGTTAAATAGCTCTTTTTATAAAAGTTAACATTTCGGAGAAAAATAGTATTGAACAAAATAAATCTATGATCAATAACATAAGTTAATAAGATACCAAATAAAAATCGAGTAATGAATGTTGAATTCGCAACATTTTTATACTTTCGCAACATGTTGCAACAGAGTATAGTTTTGTTCACCAAAGAGTTGTTTGCATCACCTAAAGTGATAGATATAGATTTCTATATACATATATTTCTTCTAATATTTGGTGATAATCAGTGGTTAGGTATATTTTCTCAGCCATTATGTTGAACTTATTATAAATATACCAGACAACAATGCTAAAAAGTTTCTTAGAGTGCTGGACTTTGTATAGAGCAAAAATCTTTCTACAAAAATTGCATGAAATAAATATTAGTAATGTAGTATCAAAAGCGACACATTTTAATATGAAGGTCATGAAGTGAACTGTAAACTCAAGAAAATTACATTTTTACCTATCGCCGTTGGCAGCTTATGAAAGGTTTAGATATTAAGACAGAAAGAAGAAAATCTACATACCTGTTCTACATATGTGTATACCATAATTAAATATTGTAAGTTATTGTTAATTTAGCCTTCATGGGTAGACCCTTCAAAATAGGTACCATAGATCCCCCTGTTCTAGAAAGCGTTTAACAAAAGTAATTTACGGAGGGATTTTCCGAGAACTTAATTTCAATACAATGAAATAAACTACTAATTTCTAAAATATAAATATAACTAAATATTATGTATTCTTATGTAGTGAATAGCTAAATAATATATAGGTATACAAAAGTACGTAACCTGTACCAACATGTTGCAAGAGTATAATAAATATCAGTACACTGTGTTTGTAGTTTCAGTTTCACTAGAAGTCTTTATAAGCAAAGTGCTTAATTCAAACTAATTTAAGTGATTATACAGTACAGTGTACAGTGACGAGCAATGGCATAGCAAGGACTTACAAGGAAACAGTGAAAGAGAGCAGCACCTAGGATCCAACTTTTAACACCCGGACGGACTGATATATAAGTATTATCGATAAGTATTTTATATATTAATCCATTTATTAATAAAATTATGCCTAGATTAAGTAGAAAATCTATATTACTAAGCGTCTTCAGATAGAAGACGTATGAGAGTTCTTCGTGCGAACTCTTTATATAGAGATAGTGAGCAGTCACAAAATACTGTAAGTCACGCTAATCGTAGATTAGATTCCGATGTCGTCTGTCCGAACAAATAATCAATAAAATCAACATAGAACCAGGCGCGGAAAATCCGCAAATTCGCTCGAAGAGCAATATGACCAGGTCATAGGTCTCGGCGTGAAGACCCGAGGGTTCGATCTGGTGAGCAAACTGCATATATGAGCTGCCCATTTATCACTTATCTACCGTCAGCAGCCAAACAAGAGCGAAGCAGTCGCGTCGAGACCAAATACACAGTGAACTCAGAGAGATTAATTAGACACGTATCCCGTCTTGACGTGCCATTTCACTCTGGGTCTCAGGAGCGTAAAAAGCCCTTGAGACAGTGGTCCTCGTATCCATTTCGGTATCATACTCTTCTGATATCTTTCTGAAACTTGGTAGACATGTTTCTTGGTACCGTGAGACAGTTGGTATTGCAGATGGGCGTAATCGGACCACTGCCACGCCCACAAATCGCCATTAATCAAAAACAAATAAATTGGTATAACTAAGCTCCCCAATAAGATACAATACTGTTATTTGGTACACAGGATCACATTAGGTGGGGGCATCTTCAGTTAAATTTTTTTTTTTTAAAGTGGGTGTGGTCCCGCCTCTAATAGGTTTAATGTACATATCTCCTAAACCGCTAATGCTATAATAACAAAATTCACTAGAAGCAAATATTTTTAGCACTTCTATTGACGGTGTGAAAATAGTTGAAATCGGGTGGCAACTCCGCTCACTCCCCATAATTCCATCTGATTCTTTCACTTTCCACTATGCAAATCAGGTAACAATGATTATATCGGGGTAAAACTTTGCGTGAATAATGCAATTAAAGTATGCCACCTTGTGGCCAAAAATTGTCTAAATCGAACCAAAACTGTTCAAACCCCTAAGTACTAAATATGTGGACCCTAGTGCCTATAGTTGACCTTCTACCGAAAATAGCAGTCAATCCACAAAGAAATCTCAAACTAGTATACCATTTGACTTTGCGAGAGTATAAAATGTTCGGTTACATCCGAACTTAGCCCTTCCTTACTTGTTTTAATATTACATTTGTTATATTATCAGGAAGTACAGGAAAACTTAAGTTTATCTTTCCATGCCTAAATACATATGTATCTCTTGTGTATTAGTGCATTTAATGAGTAACTAAGAATGATTTTCTACATGCGGATAACTTTGTATACATTCGAGCATGTTCGTATGTATGTAGATACAAAAATAAGTAAACAAATAATGCGCTTACATACATACATACATAAGTTGAGCGGAGTGGAGTATTCTCATTGTTGACGTGGCGATGGCACGAGTGTCATCTAATTTTGGAAACCTCTTATTTTAATCTGAGCATCTGCTTATACCCCATGCTCCACAACTACAAAAATAGGCGGCAGCTACAGACGCCTTAGTTGTGTCAGTCCAACACAGGAAATACGGCGAAAAATTTTCTGGCTGAAAAAAAGATATTCCCACCGCTATACAAGTATACATAAGTACATATCCCTTCGATAAACACTCGCATCCATCCATGTACTATTATGTATTTATACAGATGGAATCAAGACGATCAGTTATTATAGTGCAATCATGAATATTAGACGCATAACGGGATCGTATTATTCTCACTCTCGGTAAATTAATAAAATATTTATTTCAATACGAACATTTTAACTATTTGCTTTTGTATGTACATAGATATTTACCAAATAAATATTTTTAGTGAAACATCACAACGTTGCTTTAATCATTACGCTTGCGATTACGCACTTAGCGATCCAGTTTTAATAGTTATTACTTTAACAGCGGTGGTTGGTTCCTTTTGTTTACTAAGCGGGTTAATTATTTTGTGTGCAGTTTCCAAAACACTGCACGATCAAACTTCGGAGGCTATTCTTCTATTAGGTAAGTTTTCAGCGTACTCAAAAGACGAAATTATAAATTTTTTATTGCAGGAATTGGTTTCTTCATCTACACGATTGCTTTTGTTTCCTGGAAAATAACGAATGCCAGAAGAATCGCTCATATAACAGAAGCGCTTAATAAAAAAACCACACCAGCCATTGTGTGAAAACTTATGATGATATAAGCCCAGACGGGAGTGTGAATGATTATAAACGAAATTGCAGTACAATATTATTTATTTCTATAGAATTTAGGACTTAATGAAATTGATACGTATTTGTATGTAAGTATACTATAAGTTGATCATAATAATCATTAAATAATCCTGCAGAGATTCTAATAGAAAGAGTTTAAATAGCCATGTTATTTAGCATGTTTAGGTCTAATGTAAAACTACTTGAAGTAATTTGGTCAGATATTGGAAATATGGGAACCACTGCTTTCGCCATTAATCGGAGCTCTTCTGTTTTTTAATTTTTGCAAGAAATTGTATGTATGGCAATGTTTTTGAATATCATACAATTTATACAAAATGAATTAAAAGGGACAAATAAAACCAGGTGCAATAAAATTTGTAATTGCAAATCCATTCGAGCAATTTCTTTGATAGATCTGTGACCCAATCTTATCTAAATACTATCAGATGATGTTATATCAATTTTGAACTACTCAACTCACATTTTAGATGAGCAGATTAGTGTGAAACTTTTATACCGCCCTCTTCGTCCGAAGTCAGGCCACAAGCACGCCAATTTAAATCATGTTAGAACCTAACTTGTGGCAACTCTGCAGAAATCGGTCCAAATCGACCTCTATTACGGTTTGCAAGTGAAGGTAAAGCAATTCAACTTCAGATCAACCAAACTGTTTTTTTGTATTATGAACTACAACTAATTTCAATCGAAGTTACATTGATGTTGCCAACCTACAGAAGTAAAAATTTCACAGATAATTTAACAATTGAAAAGGTTTAAATGAAAAATCAAAACAATAAATTTCAGTTATTGACTAGAAAATGGTGAATAATTATTAAAATATGCATTAGTTTTGACTTATCTTACGTTGACGAAAATGCAGGGTCCAAAACTGATTATGCGCGGCCTTTGTGATCACTCAAATCCTGTCGAACTTCTAACTTGGTGTTAAGCCAAAGTTTTATTGACAAAGCCACTTATATTGATTGTTTCGGATTCATAAGTTATTTTCGTTTCAATAAGAAAGGATTTTGTTTTTTGCTAAATAAATGAACTCCCCAAACGTACCTCTTTAATTTAAATTATCTACGCTTAGGCTTTGACAATACTTCAACCGCCGTTTTTTTTTAGAAATTGAGGTGATATCCATAATACCAAAACTTTATCCTAAATGCAATTGAATTAGAAATCGTAATAGGAGCTTTAGCATCACTGCTTTTAAAGAACCTTCTGCAAAGTGTTAAGAAAATCAAGCCGGCAAAAAATGTGAACTCGGAGATCCATACTAATGCATTTATACTTTTACATACATATATATCCCATATCCTATAAATTTGTGAACTTAAAAATTGTAACATACTTTTTTAACAAAAGTACGAAGTTATTTTTGCTGCGTGAGCTTCGGTATATCCAATAAGAGCGACTCATCCAGGAAATAAAACGCCTTCAGAAGGGGTCTGCCTCAATTTCCGACTTAAAATTTCAATATTCGCTCAATTACTAAACATGTTGACATACTAATGTTGTATGTTGATATATACTTGTACTCGTACAAAAGCGAGATGATAGAGTTCTTTGCAAAGTGGTATGAGAATTAATTAAATTTGTACGTATGTACATATGTAGCAATTTCAGAGGCTAATAAATTAGTTTTAGTAAAAACAAATAAATTTGGCCAAGATATTAAAGTTAAAGCTTCTTTTAGGCTAATTTTCCTCATGTTTAGAAGTCAGTTTGATTGATTTCTATAACAATGGTTAGGCTTCTCTCTCTCTTCTATATATATACACATATATATATATAATATATAGATACATACATATACAGATATTTTATACCCTGAACAGGGTATATTAAGTTTTCCCCGAAATATTTAACACCCAGAAGGAAACGTCGGAGACCCTATAAAGTATATGTACATATATATAAATGATCAGTGTGTCGAGCTGAGTCGATTTAGCCATATCCGTCCGTGTGTCTGTCTGTATATACTCAAAATAGTCCCTCAGTTTCTGAAAAATCGATCTGAAACTTTGCAATAGTCCATTTCGTTCCAAGAAGTTGCTCATTTGTCGAAACCGGCGATAACGGACCACCATATTGATGCAAATTAAGTTCATATATGAAAAACTCCTTTATTTAAAAAGCGTTTGGCATTTGTTCAGATCGAATCACTACAGCTGACCGATTAAAATCCAGATAAAGATGTTTTTCATACCCCTTTAGCTCTTTAATAATTTAAGATGATATTTGAAATGAATTAAGCTCAACTATAAAAAGAAAAAGAAGTTGTTTTGTCTCGATATCTAGAGCAGGTTTGTGAAAACTAAGTTTACACAAACAAAAGTTCTTTGAAATAATCCTACTGTATTTCTGGAAATAATTTAACGTTTCTACCTTTATTTTCCGGTTTCTTATTGCAAAAGGTTTCGGTATATGTACAATATTAATTTGATTGATATTGACGGGTTTACATTTGTTTTCTGAAAAGTTGATATCTCCATTTTCTACCATGTAACAAAAAAAATGTTTGCCAGTGACGCAAAAGATATCAAAAATAAAAATATCGAAATTTTAACTGATTATGTATACACCTTGGAAAAAACTGCGGAATTATGATCTGTTAACAACGAAACAAATGAACACAAGCTTCTTTGTATGAAATAGAGTTGTAGTTGGGGAAATCCGATCAATTCTAAATATATATATTTTTTTGATACTCTTAAAACATTTTATATTATCTTAAAATATATAGATTTAAACTAAATAATTTAGTTAAAGTTAAAGTTTATTTCTAATTTCTAATGATATTCTAATGATTTTGAACTCAGGAGATCATCTCAAAATTTGTTCAATACAATATCTTAGAATAACAATAAGCTTTATGTCAAGGAATATTAACAATAAAATAATATACATATGTAACTATAACTTTTATGCCAGGCTACCTAGTTAAATATTTATGAAATCTGTATTTTGTTAAATTTTTCCACACAAAATAATTGAAACTTTTACACAGTCATTTCGCTTGAAAATAATGGTGAATTGTAGAGTATCTACAGTAGATTGACAAGTCATCGGATCAGAAATCAGTATACAATAAATTATCGTTAAATATAGTACACACAATGGCACCTTAATTCTTTATATGTATACATATACAATATATTCACACATACATATGTATATAATATATGCGTTGAAATCAGTTGGAAGAATTGAAGCAGAATGCCAAAATGTAGAAACAAAGTTGACACAAAGTTGACACAAAGCGCCTGCAAAAAAGTCTCAGAAACGAAAAATTATTTGTTTATCATTACTACGTGACTGTTTTCTAAATTATATTAGCAATCACAAAGTTACGGATGCTTTCCGTGAAGTTGTGTGTGTTCGAAAGCCGTATGGACATTTTCAGCAGAGGCAAATACAAATTAAAACCACGGCCTTCCGCAAATGTATCATTTGACAATTTTATATTGATTGCGGATTTCTCTTGCCACTGGATTAATAAATAACACTGTCATTCACATTTGTTTCATTAGGTACACCTAAGTATGTAGTTATTCCTAAATACTTGTACATATGTGCTTAAATATATATACATATACCCTACGAACAAATCTCAAAATTTGGCTTTATATATATAATTAGTACGCTTACAGATTACTTCTATATATATAAAAATTACTTGTTACTTTGTTTGTCCGGGACTCCTAAACTACTGAACCGAATTTAGTAAAATGTAGCACATTGTGCTCAGTTTGATCTAACTTACAAGATATATCTCAATTATGTTAAAAAAGCGAAACCATTCAAAACTTGCCCTTCAAGTTTTCAGACATCGATCTAAAATTTTGCACACATTCTATTCTCCCCAAGAAGTTCATCATTGGTCGGAACCGCCGATATTGGAAAACTATAGCATATAGCTGCCATACAAATTGAACGATCGGAATCGAGTGCTTGCATGGAAAAATTTTTATTTTACGAGGTATCCTCACGAATTTTGGCTTGAGTTATTAACAATCTCCGAAAAAATTGTTAAGATCGGATCACTATAGCATATAGCTGCATACAAACTAAACGATCGGAATCAAGTGCTTACATGGAAAACTTTTTCATTTGACGAGAAATCTTGAATTCTTATACCGGCAATAATGTTTTTGCCTTTATTCGTAAATAATATTTTCACTTAATGGATTAGTTTATTATAATAGTATTTAATGTTTACCATAGCCACAGCAACGTGTGGCCGGATCTTTTACTATACAAGTACATATGAATGTACATAAAGTCATTCTTATATTTCACTTCAGTGAATGAGGATATATCACACGTTCTACATCGTCTTGGGTACTACTTACATACATACATACAATCGGCGAAGTTCGCAATATAAAAGCCAGAAGCGTTGAATTTCAATTAGTTCCAATTGTCAAATTTTCAAGTCAAATCACCAAAACGACACTAACGAAAAATGCGAAATTTTGTTGGAATAGATGTTCAAGTGTTGATACCGCAGGCATTGTTGCTTCTGATTGTTATATGCGCCATCGTAGACTGGCTGATCCCGCTTCGGCCAGTTGAAGCAGTCGCAATCTCCGATTCGCATCTGGACTTAAACGTGTTTTACTTTATTAATGGACCAACAAATTACGATCCGCGCAGAGACTTTTCCAAATAATATTTATGTTCATACATATGTATATAATGTAGATATATGTATACTCAATCAGTACACAATATCAACATATGTGTGAATGTGAATATTTGAATTAATATTGAAAAATGAGACGAGCTCTGTTTAATGGAATTAACCACATCTAAATAAACATGTATGTTTGTGAAGGCAAAACCTAAAATAGTGTTAGTTAATTGAAAAACAAAATAAAATCAAATCGACAATCGGTACACGGGCATTTTTACATATATGTATGTATGTAAGTCAAACGACAGAAATATAAGTGATAGACTTTTCTCTCGCATGAAACTCAAACTTAGCATGCGAAAAAGAATTTCACATCTCAATAACTGATGTCTCCGATTCTTTGTAGTGAGTTATGGAAAACTCATTCTCTTCCAGTAGAAGCCTAAGGACTGCTTGAATTCATAGAAGTCTCCACTGCCAAGAATTTCTACAACTGCCAGAAATGAATTACTAATATATTGAGCTACTTCGTTTTATCACTAACAGCCGTCAGAGGGCGCTCCAAGCTAGCCTAAATATAAACCTTCGGGATCATAACTTAACTACTTCGGTTCTGGCAAATTATGGGAGAGAATATTAATGAATAGTGAAAGCGAAAATGTTATATCGAATTTTTTGAGTACTTATTTGTAGTTCTCACATTGGGGAGCATGGTATATAAACACATGTATGATAACCAAATCGGCAAGTCGAATTGAATTTGGAGTGACTGTCTGTCCGACCGTCTGTTTGTGCAAGCGATAGTAATGTGTTTCATTTAACCCAAGGGAGGTTGGTACTGCAGATGGGCGGAATCGGACCATTGTCTCGCCCACAAAATGCCGTCAAGCGAAAACATAAAGTGTCATAACTTCAAAGTTCCACAATAGGTTAGGTTAGTCCGGTAGCCTCGTGAGCCAGGAATATACCAGTTTTGGTCATTAGTGATGCCAACCATCAGGATGCCAGCGCTTGAGGCGAATTTCAATAGGTTCTGCGGCCTCACT